GAGCATAAAGCTCACTATTGCAGTGTCAATGAATCTCAACTTTGGCATAGGAGATTGAGACATGTTAATTATGCCTCTTTGAAGGTAATATCTTCTGATAAAATGGTTGAAGGTATTCCTGTTGTTACGGTTTCAAATCAATTACGTGCAACTTGTCAATTTGGCAAGCAAAGTCGATCCTCTTTTCCTAAGTCAAGTGATTTTAGAGCCACTAAGAAGTTGCAGTTGGTACACTCAAACTTAGGTGGACTTATGCAAACTGTTTCATTGAGTGGCAGTGCCTATTATATGATTTTAGTTGACGATTTCTCAAGGTATTGCTGGATTTATTTTTTAAAGCATAAATTTGAAGCTTACAACAAGTTTATTCAATTTAAAGCATTTGCTGAAAATGAGGCAGAAAAGACTATGTAGATTTTGAGGACTGATAACGAGAAAGAATACTACTCCAACAAATTTAAGAGCCATCTTGCCAGGTGTGGCATCAAACATCATCTCACGATGCCCTATTCTCCCTAACAAAATGGTGTATGTGAGTGCAAAAATAAGACTATCATTGAGATGACCTGATGCTTGTTATATGACAAGAATTTGCCAAATCATTTTTGGGCAGAAGCAACCAACGTAGCAGTAAGTCTACTAAATGTTTTACCTACCAAAGCCAACAAAACCAAAAGTCTTCATGAGATGTGATTTGGAGTTAAACCTTCAGTTGCTCATTTATATGTGTTTGGATGTATATGTTATTCCAAGATTCCAAATGCTAGAAGGACTAAGCTGGATCAAAAGTTTCAAGTAACTATCCATCTTGGTTATAGTGAAACTTCTAAAGGTTACAAAGTGTACAATGTAGAAACCAAAAAGGTCTCTATCACTCGGGATGTTAGATTTGATGAGTATCTCTACTAGAACTGGGATTCTCAACAGATTGAGAGATCGAGCAACATCAATGTGGTCAGTGATGAAATTTTGGATAACAAAAAACATGAGGCAGAAAAGGATGATGAAGACTTTGTAGTGAGAAGAACCCAAACCTTGCAAGATGTCTACAATAGGTGCAATATCGCAGTGGTTGAGCCCACAACTTACAGTGACGCTTCAATTGATAAATTGAAGCTTCAATTGACAAAATTGGATGAAGGCAATGGAGGTAGAAATAGACATGATCAAAAAGAATGGCACCTGGGTTCTGGTTGATAAGCCTTCAAATCAAAATATCATAGTTGTTAAATGGATATACAAGACTAAGTTAAATCCAGATTGCTCAATCAACAAATTTAAAGCACGATTAGTGGTGAAAAGATATGCATAAGTTTATGGGGAGGATTATCTAGAAACTTTTGCTCCAGTTGCAAGACACGACACCATAAGCTTGCTTACTGCTCTAGCTGCTAGAGAAAGATGGAAAATCTGACACTTGGATGTCAAATTGGCTTTTCTAAATGGAAAGTTGACTGAGGATATTTGCACTGAGCAACTTGAGGGATTTGAAGAACCTGGTTCATATGGTAAAGTTTGTAACCTTATTAAAGCTTTATATGGTCTCAAGCAAGCTCCAAGAGCCTGGTACGAAAGGATCGACAATTATTTGATTAGCAAAAGTTTTGTTCATAGTATTAATGAGCCTACTCTTTATGTAAAGAATTGTGATGTCTTTGTTTTTCTTATGATCTCTCTCTATGTAGATGACTTGTTAATTAATGACTCAGATGTTGAGTTCATGGATGAATTCAAGCTGCAAATA